AGGGGGGCTGCAGCTGGCACTCACCTGTAGGTGCTGCAGGCACGGTGCCCATCACAGGTGGTGAGAAAGGGCTGGTAGATCCTCTGCATGAAGGACTCGGAGCCCTCACCCCCGGGAGTGCTGGCGGCACACACCCTCCTGCTGCAGGACACCGACATGCCACACGTGACGGTCAGCATGGGACCCAGAGCCAGGCCCTTCCAGCCCTACCGAGGGAGCCAAGCCTACAGGGCAAGGCAGGACTGTGGTGCCCAGCTCACCTGGGCCGGTAGGCGTGGTCTGTGCCCCCTGCAGCCAACACCAGCAGGGACAGCAGCAGCAGCTCCCGGGAGCCCCATTCGGCCATCTCTCAGGGGGCCAGCCTTCTCCTCAGGGGGGCCTGCAGCACAAAGTGCCCTGAGTCCCATGCAGCCCCCCACCCTCCATAGGCAGAGGCCACTCCCCTCGGTACCTCAACAGCCAAGAACCCACCCCACCCCCACCCCAGGGCTGGAGGGCCATGAGGGGGCCACTGAGCCCCAAAGCAGGAAGCTGATGCTCTGTGTAGGGAAGGAAACATCTGATTGGCTAGCAGAGCCCCAGTCACTCAGAGAAGGTAGGGTACAGAGCAAGCCTCTGGGATCCCCAAGGCATGGCACCCTCCTGTCCCCCCTCTGCTGGGAGCCAGCGGATCAGGCTCAGATGCAAATTCCCAGAGCAGGGTCTGGAGGGTCTGTGATTCCAGTGTGCACAGCCCCAAACTCCCAGGGCATCCACTCAGGGTCGGGGTGCACTAGGCAGCCAGTGGGGGCACTAGGGCCAGAGTAGTGGAAGGAGGAGCCCAGAATCTGTGGCTGTGACATGCTGCTCCAATGTGCAGTGGTCTGCCGTCCATGGATCTGGGGATAGCTGGTCCTGGGGAGGCTGTCGGCTCCCCACATGCCCCCATGCGTGGTGGAGAGTGGGGGGGGGCACCTAAGGTTATGCCTGAGAGCTTCTCAAGGGCTGGGCTCCCCCAAGTGGTCATCTCAGGCCCTGCAGGCCCAGCAGGAAAAGCTGGGCAGGATCTTTGGGACTCAGTTTCTCCAAATGATCTCAGAGGCCCCTTCCTGATGTTCTCGATAGTGACAGTCACAGCTGTGGCAGAGCCAAGTCTGGCCCCGGGGGTGTGGGGGAGGTCACGGCTGCTACTGAACAGGCTCTTAGGCATGGCTACACTGTCCCTGGAGGGACAGGGCAGGCAACTGGGGAGGGTCCTCCCAATCCTATTCCCCCCACCCCCAACCCGTTCTCTGGCTGAAGGAGCAGGTGACAGGGTGGAGGGGGTGGCCCAACAGGCAGAGGCAGGAGTGGTCAGCTGAGGGATGGGCATCATGGTTGGGGGCAGCAGGTTGTCTGGACAGACAGGTCCTGGTCAGAGTAGTAGATTAACTCGGGGGCAGCGGGCACTGTTAGCAGGTCCAAGTGGGCCAGGGATGACCAAGGTGGGGGCTGTTGTCATTGGCCAGGCTCAGGCCTGGCTGGCCCATCAGACTCCGGGGCAGTCCGTCAAGCCCAAGCCGCAGCAGCTGCCCGGTGGCCCACCACCGTCCTTCTCCCCTGGCATGCAGGCACGGTGAAGCTACTCCATTTCTGAAAGTCATGCCTCAGGCCGCACTGCCGCCTAAGGCTGGGCGGGCAATCTCGTTTCCCCTAGCTTACAGCGGCGGGAGTGGGGAGTCTTGGCGCCCCCACCCCCGTGGTGATACAGTAACTCCGCCCCCCTCCCCACCCAGTGTGGGATGCCCCTGCCGGCCTGGCCTGTGTCCCTGCTGTCCACCTGCGAGGCAGGGCCTGACGCCACTGCAGGGGCCATGCGCCTGGACCCCCGGCTCCCACCAAGTGGGCTGTGGGGGCTTTAGGGCCCCGCGGAAGGGGTGGGAGGCAGAGAGACGGACTGGCAGCGCTGCTGCGCCTTCTCCACTGCCCGCCCCTCGCTCCCTCCCCCTCCCCCCGCAAGGCCGGCGCCTCGATGGGGGGCGGTGGAGGGTGAACCCTCCCACCCCCGAAACTGCCGCGCTAGACTGCGGGGTCCCGGGCCTCCGAGGCCCTTAGCCAGGCGCCCGGGACCG